CTTTCCTTAGAAAACACCGAGATGTGACCCTCCCAGACCCAAACAGACGCAGGTCAACATCTAGGTCAGCTTCCCCAGGTAGATCCTCTCCCCGGTGGCTTCCGCGGGGAAGCAGAGGCTGGAGAAAGAGAAGGTTTTTAGTCGACCGACCTCTAAAAAAAAAAAACACACGCACACACACACACACATACACACACATGACACACCAGCTCCCACTGACACAGTACTACCCCACAATTAGATATTTTCTTAGTAATTAACAATAACGAATAAGGTGTAAACAGCGACCTTATGTACCTACAAATAGTACTCTCTACGTTTTGTGCGACTAAACATGGACTCCCAAGATACAGGCTTCCGGCCTAGTTTGGGAGTCAGTGTCGCTTTCATTTTTAATGTACGGAACCCAAGAAAATGCAATGACGGTGCACAAATTGTCAGATTTCTGGTAAATGATTGGCCTAGGTTTTCAGTTATGAACCACGACAGAAATGTCGATAATTATTCAACAGCAAATGAATATTCAGCTGAAATATTAAAAAATGAAACTTACGGTGGTCTTTGTAAATTGGTAGCTGCAGAATTACTATTTCCGTTCCGGTTTGAAGTATATCGAAACGGTCTGCTATACACGGTGTCCAGAAGTGATATCTGTCCAGTAAGGCGATTACGATTTAGCCATGATTTATTTAATGGACATTTTGACGCCTATCTACCCATTGTTGCGAAGAAAATTACACAGCGTCGCATGGAGGTACCTATCGAAGAGCGTGACCTTTTTCAGAGCTTGACCATTTAACTGTTACATCTTTTGTGTGTGTTGTTCTGTGAAATATCGTCTCTAACCAGCGGAACAAATCAATCTGTATTGTCGACATTAAAATATGAAAAAAAGAAAAATAAACGAAGGTCGTGATTTTCTAATTACACAAGAAAAAGTCAATTAAAAAGTGCACAAAAAAGATATATTGAAATAAAAAGATTCAAATCGTAAAGCTGTTTCCGCTTATCAGAAAAAAAATCCCTATGTACGCAGGCAAGCTGTTGCAAATTACCAAACTGCGAATCCTGGTACTGAACTGGTATGAGAAAAACTTTACACTGCGTTTATCGAAAAACAAGGTCCATTCCGCTATGGAGTATGACCCTGATATTGCTTATAGTCTTGGGTTCTATGACATACAAGTGTCAATGGTGCAATGCGCTGAAATGGAAGGATGAGACACCTGGTATGTGTTGCAGCGCTGGAAAAGTGCAACTTGATCGGTTGAAACAACTGCCTGAACCACTCTTTAGTTTGATTAATTATCTACACCCAGATCATGGCCATTTTATGGGTAATATTCGTAAATATAATTCCTGTTTCCAGATGACTTCCTTTGATGGTAAACAGGTAACAGCAGATGGTTTTTCACCGACTTTCTAAATTTCCTAACCTTAAGCCAAAGGACAATGGGCAAAAATGTATGGCGCTTGTCCCATCGGCGGCCACATCTGTCCTATATATTTTTTAGTCGACAATTATGTATATATTAAGACTGCAAAAAATTATTTCGGCAACTTGTTTAGATAAAAAGTTATAAAGCGTTGATCATATAAAAAAATCGAATTAATTAAACCGAAAGTACGTAAATGATAAAACGTACCTAATGCATATTTAAGTATAAGATAATGATGGATTAAATAAAACTAAAGGTTTATTGGTTATTAAATACATCGATTTATTGACAGACACATATACAATGCTCGTATATAATGCTAGTATATAATGCTAGTATTCCTTTAAAAAAAGAAAATGATGGAATTCAATTGTCGTCTACAATAACATCGTTTAAAAAATGAGCTGGTAAACGGATCTCTTCCTCTTGGTTTCTCGCCCACCCTAAATACCACACTACACACATAATGTGGGCACAGCAACCAAGAGTGCGTTTACCGCTTAGACAACTGCAATAGTAGTTTTCTATGGCTTCTCTGCAGCTTTTCTCTCTATCTACTATAATGTACGAATAATATATTTTTGACCTAGTATGTCTAGATTGTATAAGACATCTTAGCAGCCAAACATTTGTTGCTGTGATGCCGTACCTGCCTAGGCCTGTAACATCGGGATCCCTATACGTTTCTATATTATAGAGACCTTGTCGCACATGATCCGCATAATAGCTGCGGGCTAGCTTCACTTGGTATGTACCAAGTGCAAAAATGGTTAAACCCTCCTCAGTCAGTAAAGGAAAATCACCTATGTTAGGTTGGTTTCCTGTAATGCTATCGAAACTAGCCCGTCTACGATTAAGGTTGTTGGCTAGGACATACTCTGCTAGGTTATTTGGTTGGTTCATTCTTTGGTTTATAACCTCTATAAATGTTTCAGCGTGAACGCTATCTGACAATGGTTCTCTGCAAGCATTCAATAATGAAGCACCTATTCTAAAATCTGTCATCATATGAGGCAAAGCACGATTGAAAAAGTCTTGCCGGAATAGTTTAAAATCGCGTTTGAACCAACCATTTATAACTTCAACAACCCAGCGGCACATAGTAACCAACCTAGACTTATTCGCTTGTACTGTCGTCAATTGATCTTCGTCTCGATTTTTTGTTTTCAGTAAGTGAGCTTCATAACCATAGGCATGTAAGTCGTCGATTACGTCGCGAAACCCACGGTCTAAGATGAACACATCTCCATGTTCAAAAAACCAATGGAAAGGATTTCCTTCGTGTATTTTTGTAGACTGTATGATCGCTTTTGGAATAAATAGTTTGCGGACTTTTGTATATATATATAAGTGGCGTCTGCTATCACAATTGCCTTTCTGTTTAAGGCATTTGCATTTCCAAAAATTGCATTTGGAACTTGTAGGTTTCGGTTTGCTATATCAATTCTATTGAGATGATCATAACCAAGATGCCGGGGAACGAAGTCCAGTAAAAAAGAGTCTCTGGCGAACGTTAAATGTCGTTCTAGGGTTCTACGGCTCATATTAAAAAGCGTCGCCAGCCTTTCATTTGCTTTGCCGCTTCGCAGTTTCATTAAGTAGCATGCCAAAGATGTTTTCGAGCGTGTTGATACGTTCGTCAATGAAGGAGTTTGTTCCAAAATATTCATAAATTGGTCTCGACTAACGCCTAATCGGATGTATACTTCATTTGGGTTCATGTCATCTATATTATCAAAATCTAGTATAGATCCTCGAAGCACCGCGATTTTCATGAGGCTTATGATATGCACAAAATGTGTGGCATTGAAGTCGTGGAGCAAGTTAGGGCTGTCAATTATTTGATCCCAATCATTGGATACCAAATGATGATCGCAAACTCTTGCACTATTTGGAATATAAAAATTAAAATGAATCAAGAATGTCACTTTAATGTTATCCGGAATCCTTCGGAGATCCGTTCGTCTGCAGTTTTCATACATACAACGCGTTGCTGTATTAGGGAGTCTTGAATATTCTTCAATATGTAATACACCTTCGTGTGGACGGTCTTCTCTCGGCTGCGCAGCTCTTTCTGCCCGTTGCCAGCATGGTCGACAAATGTACTCCTGGCCATTCTATTGTATCTGAAAATGAGTGTATTACAATTAGTCAAAACGCTTAGTTATTTTCATTGAACGCTGTTCAAACAAAGCGAAATATAAAGAAAAATAATGATTTCGTTTGATGTACTTACCTGATGTTCAGAGGTCAGAGCTTCAAAGATATATTGGCCTACAGCGGGAAGTTCTTCAAACCGAGCACGGGTTATTTCGTATCTTCTTCTGTTTATCACGGATCGATTACATAAAATACACACTTGGCGATTATCTGCCATTGTTATAGGAATCTGCTTAAAAAAAGTCCAAAAAAACGAGCACAAGTCACCAAGATAGATACTAACAAGTCCGATATGCAAGCCAGAGTCGAAAGAGATTGTCAAACAATAATAATCGCACAGTACTCAACGAAACAAATGTCAACGATGGACTGCGCTGTGCGCTTGAGCATAACGGTAATCGCCCAGTCGCCGAGTGCGAGCGGCGCTCGTCGCTGATTGGTTGACGCATGAAACATCTCGAGACCGATTTTAACAAAGGTTCTTAGACCTCTAATAGAAAAAGTATTGAATATTAGGATACATAAATAGTAATGAAAAAAAAATAGTATTTTAATAATAGTATTTTAACTATATTTTTTTTCCCAAACGGTATTTCATAGTACTCCTTGAACAATATTTGTTGTCAAAGATCTCCCCTTTCTAATGACACTAGTTTCATTGATGGCCGCTCATGGGCCGCAATGCCCATTGTCCTTTAATCAAACAATTGCAGAATATGCTGCATCAAGTGAACCCGTATATAAAAGATCTGAAAAGTGCCATTAATAAAGCCCCTCCGGCTTTCAGATCTTTTATCTTCTTTTAGAGTCATACAAAGTTGTCATACATGGCGATAAAAAACCACCAGAAGAACATAGAGGTAGGTATAATGCACCAACTATAAATGAAGTGGCTTTAGTGTTAGTGGATCAACAATTTGAGAGCCGAACTAATTCACTTCAGCATATTAGTGAGATACATCGAGCATATGATGCGCTAAAGTATCCATTGACGTTTTGCTGGGGGGGGATGATAGGTATTCAATCAACTGACCACAACGCGATCCCACAACTAAGTTGCCGCTTAATAAAACTGTCTCTTCTGCAAGTTTCTATTCGTATAGAATAATGATTAAAGAAGGAGAAGATAACTATTTAGTCAATTATCGGCCCTTTTTAGTCAATATTCGGTGGATGAAAATAGAAACGGAGAGATTAAATTATATCAAAAATAATCAAGCCAAATTACGTGCTGATAGTTCATCCATTTAAAAGATGCTATTGGACGACAATACACAGAAGCCAACCAACTAGAACAAATGGTTGCCCTTCCATCAGCTTTTACGTGGGACCTAGGTATACGCACGAAAGAACACAGGACACTATGACCTGAATTACGGGCTGGCCTGTTTTTTATAACTTTCACATGCAATCCCCGCTGGGACGAGATAAAAGAGCAATTGCTTCAAGGACAACAATCTGATGATAGACACAATAAAATTTCGAGATTGTTTCGACTAAAGGTGAAAAAGATAGAAGAAAGAAAGAAGAAAGAAAGAAAACATATTTTATTTCTAAGATACACGACAAGCAATTTATATGAGGATAGACAGAAATAAATTAAATAAAACAAAAAAAACATATGGCAACCCTGTGCTAATTCGATGCTGTTTCGAATGTCACGCACAATGCGGCAACATTGGCTACGTGGCATTCGCCTCAGCGGCACACGCACAGCCTCACTGGCGCTCACGTGTCATATGTGTGACTAGGCAAGGCAGCCACTTACGTCGTGTATCAGAAATTTGGATGGACACTCGGCATACACTGAGATGGGTAGCACCCCCACTCCAGTACTGATTTTCAGTGCCAACCACTAGTGTCACTTGACCTCGTCGGGCGACATTACCCGTTTATTTTCTTATCAACTAGTATCAAGAAATAAAAACACTAAAATCCAATGACAGAAACTAAACACAGGTGCTACATGATACAGTCTGTGGAGTAAAACATCATGGTAAGTTTTATTAAATGTCATCATTATCTTTAAGGTTATTTATTACATTTTTTAAGTTAAACCATGAACATGTGTGCCAATCCACTAACTACTACCTAGTTCTTCTGTGCTATAAGAAAACTAACCAAAACAAAAAGAAAAAAAAGCATAAAATATCAAAAGAAAAAACTATAGGTACCTATTAATAAATTATTTGTTTCAGATTCCCCATGTGAAATGCAACCATCATGTTTCGCATGTTTGTGAACTTGGAATCAATTATTGCTCAAAGGGATCTAAGTTTTAGGCAACGTAACGAAACCACTGGAATGATCTACCAGGCAGAGGGGCCATAATCTTCACGGTACTGATGCCTATGTTTGCTGTTTTTGCATTAATATTAAAAAAGTTTTGTATTTCTTTTTAAAACTGAATTTGTTTTTGTTAGGGTTGTCTACACCAAAGTGAGGTAAGTACCATGTTTTGTTTGTTTTTGTGGTATCTAAAATTTCCTCAGCCAAATTATTGTTTAACAAATGCTTTATACGTTCTCGATACCTTACTGCGTATTGCTCGTTACAGGACATTTTCTTCTCTAAATGATGCAGCCTAGACAAAGCCGTAAGTTTTGAATCAGGCATCCGACAGCTACCATCCTTCCACGGTAAACCTACGTACCATCGACTATCGATTAACTTTGCCGTTTGTTTCAGATGTTCCAGAGCGCGCAGGTCATTAGAGTTCTGACGCGGAGTTCCGGATTCACCCATATGTTCGATAGAACATGACTTTTTTACCATTTCGTGCAGGTCTTCTAACGGAGGCTCTGCCAACCCTGATAGAACCTCGGTAACATGCAGCGTGGAGTTACACGCGTGCTTTGAGAGCGATGCAGGTGCTCGACCATGAACACACCATCCCAGCGGAGTACGAGTGGCACAAGGTTCGTTACATTTGCCGACTTAAATTTCTAAAGGTAATATTAAATTATAATTATCCTGACCAATCAATATTTCAGGTGCAAAAGTACTATAGTAAAATTCGTTTTTAATACTAGACAGATGAGAATACATATTAAAATTTATTTATTTATTTATTGAGGCACACAAAACAGAACATAACACAAAGCTTAGTCGTATAGATAGCTAACACAAACAGTTTCGATCTTAGCTATGCTCCTAAATATGTGTACACAACATGGCAATGTAGGTGATACAAGATGAGATTACATGCAACCTAAAGAGCTAAGTATTAACATAAAAATAAAAATAAGTATAAAATTTGAAAGGTATTTAAAATGTATAAGATGTTTAACATATCAGACCAACGTTGATGACATAATATGCGTAACATTATTTTTAAATTTACTAAATTTGGTATTAAATATGTCAAGGTGTCCAAATGTTGGGGTAATAATTCATTATAGAGACGACACATTCTAACAATGGGATTATAAAAAGAAGTATTATTTAGATGCACATTCAAAGTGAAGCTTCAGTAGTGACGCTGACGTGACCTAAACCTCGTGTTAAAATTTATTTGGGAAAGCAAGTCAGGACAGTCAACAACGGAATGTATGATCTTATGGAGACATAGCAGATCATGACACTTGCGGCGGGATTCAAGGGAGAACAACTTAAACTTGTCTAATCTGTCTTCATAAGAGCAAACATCCCGGCCAACGTTGTATCTGAAGCACAATATTCTGAGGCACTTCCTTTGGATACATTCTATTCTATTTATATGGACAGCATACTCGTAGTAAGGAGACCAGACAGGTGAATTGTACTCTAGTACAGTGCGAATGAGTGCATTAAAAAGGAGGAGAAGACTACGAGCCTTCCTGAACTCCTTCGTGACTCTCAATATGAATCCCAAAAGGCTCGAAGCTTTGCTAAGTATATTATTATAATATATATAAGCTATATAAGCTAAGTGACGATGATTCGACTGTAGTAAATTCTTTGACACACTGATTATCGTCGTTCGTTGTTTGGCGCGTGCTATAATACAGTAACTTATGATGGGCTTGTCCACAGTTCTCGACGTCACACGCTGCCGCCGGACAGGTTTCGCGGATATGAGTCGCATCTATGCATTTATAGCATAACCGGTGTCGCTTGACAAAACTCCATCGATCTTTGCGTAACGCTTTACGGATTTTTTTACAATCGTGTAATGTATGTTTTGAAATACGACAATACAGACACTTCACATTGTTCTCGCCGCTTTTATTTAATACCACCGTATGTGTGGTAGCTTCTGTGTACTTTTTCTTGTTGTAGTAACCATCCGTTACATTTTTAGTGATTAATAACGCCATAGACGACACTTTCTTAGCTTTATCATTTAAAAACTCAGAAATGTCAAACCATGTTGGTCTTCTGCCTTGTTTTATGAATATATAACTATAATCTGCCCACTTTGAAAGCAAAACGGGTGGTAATTTTGACAAAATACAAGTAGTCATACTTATTCCGTTTAGGTATTCTTCACCAATTAATTTGACAGCGGCTACACAGTTTCGCACCCTTATGGAAAAGGCCACAATGTCTTTGTGATATTCTTAGGATACTGGGTGTAATTTCTTGAGGTCTGTTAAAATGCGTGACAATATGACTTCAGGATTACCCAATTGCAGCTCAAGTGTTGACATTATTGTCTCAGGCGAGGTTGCACTTATCAGCAGGGCCAAGACAGCTTCGCGAGCAGATCCTTTCAGACACTTTCTTAAGCGCCACAAGTTTTCATTCTCTTTGAAATTACAGACCTTGGTAGACTCTTCATACGCCTGTTTGAAATGAAGCCACTCCATGGGGTCTCGACAAAACAACGGTAAGTCTTTTGGTGTACAAATTTTACTTAACAGGTTGGAGTTAAGATTGTTGCTGGTAGATGCGGCTGTAAGATCCTTAAGTGCGCTGGCCAGGAGTTGAACTGTTCCCTTAGTGCCGGTATCCCATTTGACCGGCGCGCACGGCACCTCCCTTGTCTGACCCTGATCGTGGACGGGCTGTGCTTCTAGTTCGCGATGGCTGCGCTCCAACCACTCCTCTACCTCCTTGTTAGTGTAATCAGACCTTACACTACACTCGTCATCAATTTCTGCTAGGTTCGCCGCTAAAAGTTTGTCTATCAGTTCCATTTGAATCTTTGCCTTTGCCTCTGTCGCCTCCAGTTCTAGCTTCTTTTGTCGTGCAAGCACTGAAGAAGATGTAGACCGCTTGGACTTTGGCCTTGAGACCTGATGAGACTTTACAGGCATCGTTTGAAAGTTGACTAACGGTTGTTCCGATTTTACTACACTACCTTCAATTTTTGTATTTCGTACCGATTTTTCTTCATTTTGTTTAATATGCTCTTCAAATACTTCTTTCTTCTTACTAGGTGGTAATAGTGTTAGCTCTTGAGCCGAAGACTGACCTTCTATTGGTTCCTCATCCTTCCTGGCTGATCTCCTTGAGCCTATCCTACTTTTCGGTGTATGGTACATTTTGCAGTAGATCTGGCTCGAAGTTGATAATATAAAAGAAAATGAAGCGGTCCTTGTCTTAGACTATTCAGAAAACTATCAATGTAAGTATAATACAGAGATTCAAGAGATGCATTTTTCGTCATCTCGTAATCAAATAACTTTACATACTGGTTTGGTGTGGTGACGGATTAAGAATACAAATTGTCACCACCCCAATTCATCCCGTGGGTGTCGTAAGAGCCGACTAAGGGAGCAAACTAAGCAGGACAACAGCACTGCAAAGAGAAGGAAAACTTGAAACAAACCCTATACCAACCCGTCTGGCCAGCGTGGTATAGTAGGCCAAAACCTAGTTTCTAAGGAGAGGCCTATGTCCAGCAGTGGACTAGTATAGGCTGTTGATGATGATGATTGATGACTGGTTTAAAATACCTAAAAAATGAAAAACGAGAAGCCTTTTCAGAAGCAGAAAGTCAATTTTGCATTGTTTGATAAATTTGCAAATCAACTAGGTTGCAAACATGCAATATGGTCATACTTTGAGGCCGCACATGGCAAAAATGCGGCAGATGGTACACGCGGAGTACTTAAAAGGACTTTAGATTTACATGTGGGTTATACTAAAGATGTTCCTGTTGCTTTAAGTGCGTTTAAACTTCTACAAGAGGAGACAACTGTATCTTTATATTACATATCAGATAGAGACATCAAAATAATAAAAGAATTAAATCCTGTACAAAATTTGTGTCCGCTGATTGGAACAATGAATGTTCATCATATCATAACTACGGAGGAACCTGGGATAGTTAAGCACAGACACGTTAGCTGTTTCTGTGGCGAAACTCGAGGCACTTGCTCTTCCTTTGACACAAAAACATAATCTTTTTAAAAATACGACCAAATCCACTAGTAAGAAAGCAATAGCTATTACTACACCGATATGCTTAAAAATAACGAACAATAATTATAATAAAAGCAAGACTAATGAAGAAGACAGCTTGGATATAACCAAACCGGGACCGTCAGGTATAATGAAAACCAGTAATGTAATAAACAATGAAAAGCATTAAATGTTTTCATTGTTTATTACATTTTTGGTAATATGAAATTGAAAAAGACAATAATATCGAGTAATGAGAAGAAAAGAAAAGAAAATGTACTTAAAACAAAAACAAAAAAGAATAAGAATACAATATTATATACTACGTCATTATCCGGAACAGCAGACGAAGTAGTGTACGTTGAAAGTGACGACAGTCCTTACGTGAATGAGGAAAGTGATTTTGGATCAATATTCAGTACAAAAAAGAACAAAAATTAGCCCTAAGCATGATTTATTTTGCGCTCAAAATAACATGTTAACCTCAGGCGACGGTAATCCTATTTTTGATTAAATTTATGGAATTTGAGTTTGATATAAGTTTTTTGATTATATTGTTAATTGTTTTTAGAAATATTATTATTTTATCAAGTTGATTCTTCAGTTACCCAAATATAGTATTCAATTAATGAAGCAGTACGTACGGGTGATATCTTTTTGTTACAAATTTGTTCGTTATGGAGATTTGAGACTGATTTTCATTATGAAAAATTATATTATTTTTAAGAAATTACTTTCTTGCTTATTATTACTTTCTTGCTTAATTTTTTGTCAATTTGGTCTTAACGGTTCTTGACAACTTTTTTTCGATCGATCATAAACATCCGATCGTTTTGCCACGCAGGGATCATGTATTGAATTTGTTGGTTGATTATAACCACAAGCTCCATTGTCACGCAGGTCCAGATTTATTGTCGTCATACATATGTCTATTCGTCTGTATGACAACTCGCGCCGTTCACATAGAACTTTCTGGCGATCTCAACACTGCTTGTCGGCTTTCAAGCGCTTCTTATCAAGGCGTAGCCCCGTTAGTCGTATATATTCCGACAACGGGACTATTTCATAGGCGCAAAAAGTTCACTACCGGAGCTTCTCCAATTCCTCATTTCACGAAGTTATGACACTGACTTCGCACATATCGTAGCTGAAAATAATATCAAACACGCCGATCGCGAGTCACTTGGGTGGAAACTGGGAGAGCAACATAAAATCGTTGAAGGGATTGTTATTTAGAGTCATCGGTGATCAGATACGCTCGTTTGAGGAGCTCAGTACTGTTCTCGCACAGGTAGAGGCTGATATGAATACGCGCCCCTTGTGTAGGACCTTTACTAGCGACCCATCTGAGCCACTAGCGTTGACACCAGCGCATTTTCTAAACTATACTCCGCTTAAATATTTACCTGCGCCAGATATTAATGAAGACAGGCTTCACGTTCTCTTGTCGCAACATTGTTGCACATCACTATGAATCAATTACGTAGTATCATGACAGTGCAACACTATTGGCTGTCAGTTTCTCGTGTCTATGACATTCATTCGTTTAGCTTGCTACAAAATGAATAATGAAATGAATACGTGCGCGGCCCGTGCGTCTGCTGCTGACGATATATATATATCTATATAATATATTTAATGTATAGGCGCGCCAGCGCGCGCTGTATCGTAGACATTCTGCCGGGCCGCAATTTAGTCCAACAATGGACATAGTCGGTTAAACGCTCGACGGATGGTTCCCGTTTTCAGGGGTTACCCATAATCGGGGGTGCTATGCTAGAAAACCTCCCCGTGGTGCACCCTGGAAACGCTGGCGATGGCACTGTTTCCTCTTTGTCCTCTTAGAGGAGAGGATTATCGCCAGCGGCTAATATTCTAGCAGAAGAGGAAGCCGTTTATCGGCTCTCGGGCAAGGCCTGGTCCAGCAAGGTGGGCGTGTCTGCTGGTTGCCCTGCAGGCTCTTCGCTCTTCGGAGCATGGAGGAGGAAACTTCGGTAAAAAACCAGAAGGTGGGGCCCTGTAGGCCAGTTTCTCCGCTGATAGCGGTGAAGAAAGGAGGCTCGGCGTGTACTGACACTACCACCGAGCAGGCAGGGGGACGTAGTCTCCCTGTCACCGTCGGCATATCGTAATCCCGAGAAGAGCGCTGTGGTCAAGTCTCGCGGCTCTGATCGAGGGCGAGAGTCTCGGCTTAACCGCCCGGACCGCGAGGAAGAAAACCTCTCTAAAAAATTCCCCGAATCCCGTGTTCTGGTGCGTGGCCAGGGGATGCATGGCTGATGGGTAGTTCAGTCGTAAGCGCACTCCCAGCCGGGGCACTTGCGGACCCCTCGGTTGGGCATAAATTTACACTTACCCGGGTATTGGGGGATCTCTGCCCGGATGGACCTTTAGTTCTCCCCCACTCGTGGGTTTAATTATGGCAAATGAAGACAAATTAAATAAAGGATCGAAACCAACAACAATGACAAAGGCAAGCAAAACGGTTAAGGAAACGGTGGGAAAGGAGAAGGAGGAGTCGAAGAGGAGGAGTTGTGGAGTGGATCTGGCGTCCACTGAGAGTGTGGTGGTGTCTGGAACGCCTATCTCGGTGGGGCTCCCAGTAGTAGTCTGTAGTAGACTGACTGCTGGGAGCTAAAGATCGGAGCGCTTGCGCTCCAAATCTGCCACGGCTGGCGAGAGTGGAGGCTCCAGCGAGAGCATGGAGGTGGAAGCGGGACCGAGCGAGAGCCGGAAACGCGAACTCGCGAGGGATGACGACGACATCCCATCCGTGGAGTCTGGGCCTCCTAAGGGCGGCCGAATAGGGAGGTCGCGTACCCCTGTCCCCGTCGCGTACCCCTGTCCCCGTCGCGTACCCCTGTCCCCGTCCCGTCAGGCTCCGCCTTCTCCAAGGCGGATTCCTACAGACGGGTACGAGCGGACGGCGAGGCCGCAGCGGAGGAGGAGATCGCGGGTCTTCTGTTCAAGATTCGGGAGCCGGTGGAGGGAGATGCCCCCTGGGCTCCCGTGTCTGTGCGGGAGAGGGCGAGGGCGGCGGTGGCTATCATCCAGAAGGTAGCCACCAAGTCGGTTAACCTTAAGGGCTCTTTTGTGAGGGCCCTTAAGGACTCCTCCTCCGCTATGTCGGAAGTCGTGGAGGGCCTAGTAGGCGATGTTTCTCGCCTACAGATGGCCAATGACAGGCTGACGGAGCAGGTGAACGAGCTGAGCGCTCAGTTCGCCCGCTTCCGGGCGAACCTCCCCGAGCGGGAGGCCCCGTCCACGCCCCAGCCTGTCCCTACCGCGACCTCAGGGGTACCTGACGCCCAACTGCGGGGAATTCTCGACGCAGTTGGGCGTATGCTGGATGGCCGTCTGGCCGGCCTGGAGGCGAGACTGCCACCTGCGCCGGTTGTGCGCTCCCCGTGGTGGGAGGCCGCGTCTCCTACGTGGCGTCGGCGTCGGAAGGGTTGGCAGGAGGCGAGGGGCTCAAAGAAGACCCGAAGGCGGGCTAGAAGGGCTGCCCAAAAAGCGGCCCAAGCTCACCCTTCAACACCGGTGACAACGGCCTCTAATAAGAGGCCGCGGAAGCTGCAGCCGCCCAAAACCTGAGGCAGCTTGTGGCAGACTATCTTTAGGAGCGAACCGTCATGTACGAGGACCGAGAACGCGTCTTGAGACGCAGGGCCATGTCGTGCGGTGTTCCGCAGGGGTCTGTCCTAGGACCTCTCCTGTGGAACATCGGGTACGACTGGGCCCTACGAGGGCGTCTCCCCCCCGGGCTGGGTGTAATCTGCTACGCGGATGACACCTTAATCACGGCCCGGGTTGGCTAACTTCCAGGAGGCGGCGCGCCTGGCCGCCACGGGAGTTTCCCAGGTGGTCGGGCGCATTGAGGCGTTGGGATTACGGGTGGCCCTGGATAAGACGGAGGCCCTATTATTTCATGGGCCCCGTCGTGGTCCACTCGCCGGCGCCTCAATTGAGGTCGGCTCGGTCCTCGTACCGGTCCGGGCCCAGATGAGGTACCTGCGTCTGGTCCTAGACGGTAGGTGGCTCTTCGACGAGCACTTCCGACAGCTTGGTCCGAAGCTGGTCGGCTGGAGGGACACTGCCTCCGCCCTAGGGCGACTTTTGCCCAATTTGGGCGGGGCCAGTGTTCCCACGAGGCGGCTGTACGCGGGGGTTGTCCGGTCCATGGCGCTTTATGGTGCACCGGTGTGGGTGGCGGCTCTGACCGCCCCGAATAGGGCGCGCCTCTGGCGCCCCCAGAGGATATTGGCGGTCAGAGCCATACGCGGATACCGCACGGTGTCCACCGAGGCGGCTTGCGCCTTGGCCGGAACACCCCCGTGATATTTGGAGGCGGAAGTGCTCGCCGAAGTTTATCGGCGAGTGGCTGACTTCCGGGCGGAGAGCGGATTTCGTCCTCCGCCCGAAGACGTGCGCGAGTGGCGCGAAGCCGCTCGCCGAGCCACCATGGTCAGATGGTCGTTCCGGCTGGAGACTCCACGCGCTGGCTTCGCCGCCGTGGAGGCTCTCCAGCCGGTCATCGTCGAGTGGGCAGCACTTTCCTTCCGGCTGACGCAGGTGCTTTCCGGGCACGGTTGCTTCGGAAAGTACCTGTACTCGTTCGCTAGGAGGGAATCGAGTCCCGCCTGCCACCACTGCGACTGCAGTGAGGATTCGGCCCAGCACACGCTGGCGGTTTGCCCCGCATGGGCGACGCAGCGCCGGGCCCTCACTGCAGTCATCGGAGCAGATCTCTCGCTACCGGCCGTAATTCGCTCCATGGTCGGTAGCGACAGTTGTTTTACCGCGGTCGCAACCTTCTGCGAGGAGGTAATCTCGCAGAAGGAGGCAACGGAGAAGGCCCGGGAGGACGACCTCCACTCGGAGGCGCGCTTACCTGCGCCTCATGCCGCCCTGAGTGTGGCCGCGGGTGGACGGGATGGGTTCTCCCCTCCACCCGCATTACCGGCGTCCGCGTGTGCCGGACGTCGCCTAAAGAGAGGAAA